GTGTGTGTGTGTGTGTGTGTGTGTGTGTGTGTGTGTGTGTGTGTGTGTGTGTGTGTGTGTGCCTGTGCGTGTGCGTGTGTGTGCTGGGGTGTGTGTGTGTGTGTGTGTGTGTGTGTGTGTGCGCGTGTGCCTGTGCCTGTGCGTGTGCGTGTTTTATTTTTATTTATTTATTTATTTTTTTATTATTATTTTAATTATTTTTTTTTAGTTTTTTAATAATTGTATTAAAAAAATTCATTCATTTATTTTTATTTTCATTTTAAGCATTGGGGCTCCTACATTGGTTCACCTTCCATAACGACCCCTCACTCTTGAATGACCATGGCCAAGCATTGGGGCTCCCGATCCGACGACCATCATGATGGTGAAAGAGGTGTGCACCCTCTCCACACAGAGTTGACCTGAATCCTATTCTCCCGTGTGCTTCACGGAATGTGCTGATTTCAGAACATCATAGCAATGCCCAAGTTTTCTGTGAAAGAAGAGGAGACACCAACCAAGCCAGCCAAGTACCGTTGAAGTCCCTGACCCGGCTCCGAGTGGGTCACGAGGGTCTTCACGAGGGTCCACGGAACGGGGGCCAGCGTAGGGGGAGTTGTATTCCGAAAACATGTTTTTTTTTTCCTGTCCTTTCTTCAGCACATGAAACTCAATTAATACGCACTTCCGGGGTTATGAGGTGGCTTATGGCTCTGGTGCCCTCTGTCGGCCATGGTCTGGGAATGGTGGATGGAGAGATGGAAGGAAACTCCATTTCATAATGTAGAATGGTCTGATGATTTTATTCTTCATGGGAAAGTGAATCCGGATGCCATCTTTCAGTCTAGATACAGCTATAATCACCGTACGTTGTATTCGGGGGAAGAAGGTAGCGCTTTGCGGTAGGCAAATGGTATGTGGCCTTGGTCTGCAGGGGAATAATCATGGGAGGAATATGGTCAGCAAGAAATGCCAAGGTTTTCAGGAAGGAGGAATCCTCTCTCTCATATGAGCAGTTAATTGGTGGGAGGGATTAAAACAGGATTAGATCGGTGAGGGGAGCTGATAGGCGTAGGAAAAACGAGATCTGATTTTTGAAAACATGGGCTGCTTATAATTACTTTGCATACATACCAGCCGAAGGTAAGCTGATAACCTCACAATGGTTGTATTGATGGAAAGGTCGCCGCATAGCCCGGACAAGTCCCCTGTCTGGATAGGATTATGTTTCAACTGGGGGATTACTGTGGTGGAATAACGTCTTTGATCGGACTGTTCACTGTAAGATCTAGGAGACAGGGGATTGCATATTGCATTTTGATACTAGATGAATATATATAAACTCCGACGAAACAGTTTGCCATAGCCCCTCTTATGTTTGTTGTCCTCTTCTCCCTCCCTCTCTGCCGACGGTTTACCGGGCAGCTCTGCTTGACTCTATATATAAGATATAGTTTTATAGAAGAATAAAATAAAATAAAATTATGAGGTGAAACGGCCTCTGGATGTTCAGGCGGGTAGTACGGCATCTAGGACGTCGCGCATCGTCACAAGGTGGTTGAAAACTCATCGTGGAATAATTCTACGGCATCCATGCGACATGGGCCCGGGGCCAAGTCCGACTTACGCTGATTCTTCATTTCGGGCCGTTGATCTTCGGAATCTAGGGTCAGAAGTTGAAATTTCGGGTCAGTGGGACTTGGCCCCCGGGGTCCAAGTCCCACTTACGCGTTGAGGTACGTCCTCCTTGATTTTGCAAGGCCCCCCGGCCACACAGGGCGACCTCGGCTATAGATTCAGCGTCAAAGATCGTGTGGCTGATAAATCGTTACAGTTGGAAAAGTTAAAAATCGGCCGTCGTTTCGTTTCGGCCGCTGCAAAGGTCGGACGCCTACCAGAGGCCCGCTATTTTCCCAGCGGGAAACGTACTGGTGGTTTAAGGTCGTGCAGAGAGAGGCAGTGGGCCGTGCTTGGACGTTGAGCTAGCGGACTCGTAGTGAAGTAGTCAGCTAGCTCAACGGTGCTTGTGCGTTCATTCATTACCTCGTCGTGGGGAGGACACTCTGACAGCCCTGGGAGGACACTGACAGAAAAACAGAAAAAAAAAAAAAAAAAAAAGAGAGTCTGCATGCTGTCTTTGTTTGGTTGCACTTTTTATTTTGATCTTTATTTTTTTTCACCTTGGAACTTTTATTTCAAACGGGCCCAGTGCCCGAGGCTTGCAGCAATCAAGTGACAAGTAGCTGCTATCCCAGGGGTCTGGTCCCACCTGTGTTGTTGAGAAAACTCAACGCGGAGTTTTCTACGACGAGCGACAACGTTCGACAGGATGTGGCCGTCGACAGGGCTGCGATCCCACGGTTGGAAATATTTCGAAATGTTGATGTCCTACCGGGTGATTTGAATGATTTTTTTTTTTGTAGGACTTCGAATGGACTCCCGCAATGGAGGGAAGGC